CTACGGCTGAGGTCAGAGAGGTCTTTTCCTGCTTTCTCCTCTAAGGTTTTGATGGTTTCCTGTCTCACATTCAGGTCCTTTATCCATTTTGAGTTTATTTTTGTGAATGGTGTGAGAAAGTGGTCTAGTTTCAACCTTCTGCATGTTGTTGTCCAGTTCTCCCAGCACCATTTGTTAAAGAGACTGTCTTTTTTCCATTGGATGTTCTTTCCTGCTTTGTCAAAGATTAGTTGGCCATACGTTTGTGGGTCTAGTTCTGGGGTTTCTATTCTATTCCATTGGTCTATGTGTCTGTTTTTGTGCCATGCTGAGAACTTTTAAGATCTACTGTCTTAGCAACTCTCAAATATATATTATTAAATATAGTCAACATGCTGTATGTTAGATCCTCATGTCTTATTTTAGAACTGAAAGTTTGTACCTTTTTTTTTAAATTTTTTTTTTAACGTTTTTTTAATTTATTTTTGAGACAGAGAGAGACAGAGCATGAACAGGGGAGGGCAGAGAGAGAGGGAGACACAGAATCTGAAATAGGCTCCAGGCTCTGAGCGGTCAGCACAGAGCCTGACGCGGGGCTCGAACTCACGGACCATGAGATCATGACCTGAGCCGAAGTCGGATGCTTAACCGACCAAGCCACCCAGGCACCCTGAGAGTTTGTACCTTTTGACTCCCTTCACCCATTATGCCCACCCCAAACCATACTGCAACAATATGTTTTCTGTATCTATGAGTACAGTTTGATCATTTTTTTTCACTTAGCATAATACCATGTTGTCACAAATGACAGTATTTCTTTTTTATGGCTGAATAACACTCCACCGTGTGTGTGTGTGTGTGTGTGTGTGTGTGTGTGTGTGTGTGTGTGTATACACACATTTTCTTTATCCATTCATCCATCAATGGATACGATACTTAGGTTGCTTCCATGTCTTGGCTACTGTAAAATAGTATTGCACTGAATATGGGGGTGCAAATACCTTTTCAAGTTTGTGTTTTCATTTCCTTTGGATAAATATCCAGAAGTGTAATTCCTTAAATATGTTAGTTCTATTTTTATGTAACCTTTTTAAACTGTCCATTTCCCTGCTACATAAATGAAAGCGAGAACTTAATTACCTGTATTATGTAACTTAATAATCAGGGACTCAGTGAAAATAATAACTGAACTGAGGATATAACATAAAGAATGAGTAAATGATATATGTCTCTAAAATGGAAGTAAATTATTAGACCTCACTTAAAATAATTGTATTTATAATTAAAATACAAAAACTTGATTCATGAACTGATAGCCTATAAATGAAATTAAAGAAGGCACAAAGGGTGCCTGGGTGACTCAGTCAGTTAAGCATCTGACTCTTGATTTTGGCTCAGGTCATGATCTCATGGTTCGTGGGTTCTGCACTGACAGCAGAGAGCCTACTTGGATTCTCTGTATCCTCTTCTCTAACCCTCCCTCTCTCAAAAATAAATAAACAAACATTTAAAAAAATAAATAAGGCACAAAATAATATCAGAGCGAAAACACATGATTATTTAAATATATTCAATATTTTTGTTATAAAATACAGAATTAAAAAAAAAGTTTTATTTAAGTAATCTCTACACCCAACATGGGGCTTGAGCTCACAACCCCAAGATCAAGAGTGGCATGCTCTTCTAAGCCAGACAGGTGCTCCCAGAATTTTTTTTATTACTGGTTTGACCTAGGACAATCAATCATTTTACTGAAAAGTGGTCTTTGAATGTTTTTACATCATGACACTTATGGTTTCAAAGATCTACTTTTTCTGTGACCATCACCTAGATGTATTTTTATGTGTTTTATGAGCTATAGCAACAATCTATTCTGATTCCTAGGATTATATATAAACACTGACTTTCTTTAATTTTAGAGACAGAGAGAGGAAGACAGAAAGCGACAGCACACAAGTCAGGGAGAGGGGCAGAGGGAGGGGGAGAGAGAATCTTAAGCAGGCTCCGTAATCTGTGCAGAGCCCAGTGTGGGGGTCAATCCCATGACCCTGGGATCATGACCTGAGCTGAAACCAAGAGTTGGATGCTCAAATGACTGAGCTACTCAGGTGCCCCTAAACACTGACTTTCAAATGTGAGAAGCCATTTGTTATATCTACACATTTAAAAAATAACAGGGCACACAAAATGCAAAGATCACAAACTAACTCTCAATATCATAAAATGATATATAAATTTCTTGATACTCTTCAAAGGTTTCAGAAAAAATTGGGTAAGCTATTCTGCGGAAAAGCTCTGATCTTGTATTACAGTTTGGTTCTGGAGACATGGTCTAAAATTTAAATTTATAAAACGATATTAACCATAAATGAAGTTAATATTTAATAAGAATAATTATAAACAAAGCCTAATAGTCTGAGTTACTATTTATTTTAAAGGGTAAAAATCATTGGGTTTAAACTGTCAACAGGCAACCCTAACTAGTGATTACATGTTAGGAATCAGGGGCACCTGGGTGGCTCAGCTGGTTAAGTGTCCGACTCTTGGTTTCAGTTCAGGTCATGATCTCATGGTTCGTGAGACTGAGCCCCGTGTCAGGCTCCGCATTTACAGCACAGAGCCTGCTTGGGATTCTCTCTCTCTCTGCCCTTCCCCCGCTTGCTGTTTCTCACTGTCTCAAAAAAAAAAAAAAAAGTGCTAGGTAATCAAATCACTTACTTTGAAAAGATGTAATGTTTCCTTGCTGGTTAGTAGCTGGAACTGAAGGTCAGATGACCTGCCATCACAGGGGAGGCATTCATAAAACTCAGGATCCTTATGTGTCACAGAATAGAGAACTATAATGAAATTTCCAGATTCTGAAAAAACCCTGGACAAAAAAATGCCATTAAGTTAAAATTTACTGAGGATAATGAAAGTACACTTTTAAGAACTCCTACAAGAGTCTCTCAACCTAATTAATAAACTACTTAAACAGTCCAATTTTGGGAAGAAAACTGGGGAGCAAATTTATGCTTACTTTTTTAGTGTTACTGATTTTTAATTTTTATTTTATTTTTTTTTATTTTTTATTTATTTATTTATTTTTTCAACGTTTATTTATTTTTGGGACAGAGAGAGACAGAGCATGAACGGGGGAGGGGCAGAGAGAGAGGGAGACACAGAATCGGAAACAGGCTCCAGGCTCTGAGCCATCAGCCCAGAGCCCGACGCGGGGCTCGAACTCACGGACCGCGAGATCGTGACCTGGCTGAAGTCGGACGCTTAACCGACTGCGCCACCCAGGCGCCCTGATTTTTAATTTTTAAAATACACTTTATTATAAAGTACATATTCCTTGTAAAAACTTTAAGCAAAATAGGGATATATAAAATAGAAAACCAACTCACTTTATGGTTTAATGTATATAATTTTCTCCCAGGCATGCGAAAACATCTTATACAATCTAACAAAAATAGACCATACCATACATACTACAGTTGACCTTTGAACATAGGTTTGAACTGCACAGACCCACTTAAATATGAATTTTTGCCAATATAGCACAGTACTATAAATGTATTTACTCTTATGATTTTCTTAAGAACTTTCCTCCAGATTGCTGTATTGAAAAATACTTGTAATACTGTCAGAACACGTAAAGTATATAATACATAGAACACAAAAAAATATGTGATAACTAACTAGGTTATCTATAAAGCTCTGGTCAACGGTGAGCTAGCTATTAGTATAAGTTTCTGGGGAATCAAGTTTTATGCAGTTTTTTGTTGTTGTTGTTTTTAAGTAGGCTTCACACCCAGCGCAGAGCCCAATGCAGGGCTTGAACTCACGACCCTGAGATCAAGACCTAAGCTGAGATCAAAAGTCAGAGGCTTAACTGACTAAGCCACCTAGGTGCCCCCAGTTTTGTTTTTTTGTTTTTTGTTTTCTTTTTTTAAATAAACTCTACACCTAATGTGGGGCTTGAACTTATGACCCAGAAATCAAGAGTCACATGCTCTACTGACTGAGCCAGCCAGGCACCCCTATATGCAGATCTTTGAACCTGCATTGTTCAAAGGTCAATTGTATTCGCAATTGCTATTTTTAAAACTTTTTTTTTAGTGTTTATTTATTTTTGAGAGACAGAGCACAAGTGGGGGAGGGACAGAGAGAGAGGCACAGAACCTGAAGCAGGCTCCAGGCTCTGAGCTGTCAGCACAGAACCTGACAGAGTGCTCAAACCTGTGAACCACGAAGTCGGTCACTTAACAGACTGAGCCACCCAGGCACCCCTGCAATTGCTATTTTTTTATTTGACTATCTTGGATTTCTTCCCATGTCACTATTCTATATTATACCTCAGACCTCTTTATTCTTTTTTAGTGACTAGCCAGTATTACAATTTATAGTTGTATCATTTTTAACTTCTAAGTGGGTATTTTAATTATTTAAACATTTCATGATTATAAACACTTGATAAAAAACATTCATTTTATTATTCACTCTATGACTCAACAAAAATATTTATGAAGTCATCATGAATCCTTAAAACCAGTGCAGATATCCCCTCTTTTCAAAAGTTCACATTAGGCCACTTCACTTTTATAGGAGACTACATTAGGAGAACCTGTTTTTACTAACAAAAAGAAATCTGAAGATTTTTGCTTTTACAATACAAAGGCAAAACCGAAAATAACGTGCAGCATCTGTTTTGCATGAGCCATTATAGAGACAACACACACTGCATGAGAAGGGCCCCACCAGGCTCCTTCCCAGGAACCACATTCAGTAGCTCAGTATCGAGCAGTCATAGCTTTGAACTCTATCTGTGAGTATTGTGTTTTATTTCAATTTATTTTGTGCATCCATTAGCAAGACATGACCTAAGGTGTCAGAAAAGCCAGAGAGGTTATTTATTTTCTAGGTCTGGGAACGCTCAAAAATTTTCCCATATATATTAATGGTAATCTTTGCTTTACATCATTTCAACTTAAGCAAGGTTTCATAGAACGCTCTGCTCTTTCAAATGGTGGGGGGTGGGAGGGCAGGAATGAGATGACAGCCTATAGTTAAAAATACTTTTAGAAAATAATAAACGAATAAAAACACTTTTAAGTAGTTGTCTCTCCTTGGTAAAACACTGAATGAAAAATAAGTGGGGATACATTACACCCTTAATTTAAAAACAAGAAGTGAGTGCTGTAGAGGCAGAATGTGTATTCTGCTCAATTCCTCTCTCTTGGGTCAGACAAGACCACTGTTCAGAATGTTGTAAAGTACCAACCTAAGCTATGCTAAGTAGTGCTAACTATTCTCTGGTTCAAAGGGCTGGCAGAAATTAAGGAGTTCAGGTATCAAAGAAATTGCCTGGGGCGCCTGGGTGGCTCAGATGGTTAAGCACCTGACTCTTGGACCCTTGATTTCAGCTCAGGTCATGATCTCATGATTTGGGAGTTCAAGCCCTGTGTTGGGCTTTGCGCCGTTTCAGCTTGGAGCCTGCTTGGAATTCTCTCTCCCTCTCTCTCTACCCCTACCCCACTCATGCTTTCTCTCTTTCTCTCTCAAAATAAAGAAATAAAGTATTTTTAAAAGTATACTATAGCTACTCAAGGTAGACACAAACCGACCTGGAAATTTTTAATAGATGAGAAAGCTAAGAGGCAAATGTGGTATCACATACAAAATAAAAAATTAAATGAGGAATTGAGGGGCGCCTGGGTGGCTCAGTTGGTTGAGTGTCTGACCATGATCTCATGATTTGTGAGTTCGAGCCCTACATTGGGCTTGGTGCTCTCAGCGAGGAGCCTGCTTTGGATCCTCTGTCCCCCTCTCTTTCTGCCCCTCCCCAACTTGCACTCTCTCAAAAATAAATAAAAAAAAACATTAAAAAATTAAATGAGGAGTTGAGGTTAGAAAATTTCTTTGTTAGGGGCGCCTGGGTGGCTCAGTCGGTTAAGCGTCCGACTTTGGCTCAGGTCATGATCTCACGGTCCGTGAGTTCGAGCCCCACGTCGGGCTCTGTGCTGACAGCTCAGAGCCTGGAGCCTGTTTCAGATTCTGTGTCTCCCTCTCTCTGACCCTCCCCCGTTCATGCTCTGTCTCTCTCTGTCTCAAAAATAAATAAACGTTTAAAAAAAAATTTTTTTCTTTGTTAGTTCCAATGCTTGTGCTTCAGCTCCAGAAGAAAACTAAACATTTCATCTCAAATATTTCTTAGGGTACTAGTAGTAGCACTGTGTAATTTAATAAAACACAATAAGGCAACAAACTCAAACTCATTTTCAATCATTTCATTGAAAACTGATCTCTTTATTTTTAAAATAAGATGCTAGAAGAGAGGATTTCTAGGGTTTTTTTCCCCACACCTAAAAAATGTATTGTCTATGTTACAGTCCTGTGGTTAGACAAGTGAATTCCTTCACATTTCTAAGTATCCTGCAACCTCACTTTTTTGGTCTGGTTTTATTCCCATTTCATGTAAGATTTGTTTTTTTTTAGTGTGCTTTCTTAGTCTTACAGTTTTTAAGTATTATAAATGTCTTCTGGTATGTAAATGTTATAAAAGTATTAAGGCATTGCATGAATTTTAAATGAGACCAGTAAAATATGAACAGGGGAGAAGGTCAAAATAAAATAACTACAAAATAAAATATCACTTGCCTTTCTTGAATAGAAGAACTGAACATGTATCGTAAGCAGCAAGCCCACACCTGAGGACTATAAATATGTATAATTCCAGACAGCCAACTAAAAGAAAAAATAGAAATTAAAAGCTTAGTAATTTCCAAATTAACACTTAGTGTGCTTTAGATTACCTTCTTCTCAAGGTAATAATATGGCAGAAATTCTTGGTATTCAGCAGCAATACATTTAATGGCTCATAAATATGAAATCTATAAACACTAGATCTCACTAATAATTAAAAGGAATACAGAGATATAGATATAGGTATAGGTATAGATATAGACGCAGACATAGATATAGTCATAGACAAAGAGAGTTTCCTCTCTGCCCTCTTCTCCCTGAGAGGACAAGAAAATGGTGGGAGACAAAATGGTTAACAATAGAAAGTAGGAATCAATTAGAATCAATTATCCTAGACTAGAAAGAATGGGCTGAATTAGGGGAGAATGAAGTGAGCAGGAGAATATAGTTAGCAAACTATAGGTATTGAGAGGATTAAATGCTGTAACATACATAAATTGCCCAATACACCCAAGGCTCTTACTAGGCATTCACTTGGTATCAATAATCCATAGCAAACACTGTACATTTCGTAGTCTACAGAACATTTGTGCCTTCTCATTTTTTAACTCTGCACATACCAACAGTCCTCCCTTCTATTATCCAAACTCTTCAAGGTCCAGCTCAAATTTGCCTTCTTTAAGAAAATGTCCCTGTCATCTCTCTAATAAATACTAATAACACGCACTGTCTAGATTGCTCATTTCATAATAAATCATATACTTCCTTACTATTTTTCTATTTCTACTTGCATATTTTATTGCCCTTTATTATAAAATTCCTTGGAGAGCTTTAAATCCCAACATAGTACTAATAGTACTATGCATAGGGTAAGCACTCAATAAATACTCAAAGAACATACATTTCTGACTGAATAATCTGTCTAAATGTTATTAACCACAAACTCTAAAGAAAACGCCATTCATACTAAAGGGAATTTCTGCAAAAACTGCCTGGCAGTGAATTTTAAAGTGTTATTCTGAGCCCTGGGTTCTTCAAGGTGCCTTGAAGGAAAGGGGGTAGTAATGAAGATTAAAGAAGCAGGGTTCGAAGGCTTCAACTTCAACCAGAAGAATTTGACTTTATGTGTTTTATTTATTGGAGTTCTTCCTAAGATTGGGCAAAATATGGTTTTAACTGATTCTGCTATGAAAATAAGAAAACTTAAGAATCATTGGCCCCTGTGGCTTTATAAGGTGACTTAAGTATTAAGTTTATATTCATAGTACAACAGATGAACATGCTTATCATATACATTTGAATACATATGTGGCTAAAAAGGCTGTCATAATAATACAACACTTACATTCCCACTAATGGTAGAGAGCAAATCTTGGGATCTGATTCCAGCAAAAGTAATAATTTGCGTGTTTCATCCATGGTAAGATATCTAAACAGAAGAAATTCATGTAAAAACAATTAAGAGTTTGTATTTTCTACCTAAAAGAGATAACCTAAATACTTGAAGAAGCATATTTTAGGCAGAGAAGATGATTCAAATGAATGTCCCCCCTACCCCACACAGAAAATAGTTCAAAATGTAGAAAAAAGAATTCAGTAATAGAGATGAAAGAGATTTAACATCTTAAATTTCTATTCAAATGGTCATTGAAGATCACACTTTTTTTTTTTAATTTTTTTTTTTCAACGTTTATTTATTTTTGGGACAGAGAGAGACAGAGCGTGAACGGGGGAGGGGCAGAGAGAGAGGGAGACACAGAATCGGAAACAGGCTCCAGGCTCCGAGCCATCAGCCCAGAGCCTGACGTGGGGCTCGAACTCACGGACCGTGAGATCGTGACCTGGCTGAAGTCGGCCGCTTAACCGACTGCGCCACCCAGGCGCCCCTATTTTTTTAAAAAATTGTGCTCTAAAAGTGTCCACTCTTTTTAAAAAATTGTGCTCTAAAAGTGTCCGCTTATTTTAATTGGGAGTAGTAAAATCAAGGCTGACAATTTCAGATTCAAAGAGGTCTCCCAAGGAGAAGTGGATTTCCTATTACTAGAAGTGCTCAAGCACCCAGGTGACTTCACAAGAATGCAGCAGATGTGACTTCTCACTGAAGGTAGCTGAATTAGGTGAGTTATGCTCAACCTTCCATGCACTACATTCCTCCAACCATTATCAGAGAACATTAGAACCAACATGATAGAACCTCAAAATTCACTTTTTCCTAAAAGGACATTATACCACATTTATACTCTGTTATTGTTTTATTATTTACAGTAAGGTTTTTTTTTTTTACAGTAATCTCTACACCCAATGTGGGGCTTGAACTCAAGACCCCAAGATCTAAAGTCACACGCTCCAACAACCAAGCCAGCCAGGTGCTCCTATTACTGACAGTAAGTTTTAAGGGCATGAATAACGATAGAATTGTCAAGAATTAATTTCATTGTTATTTTTTTTTTTTTAATTTGAGAGACAGAGCGAGCATGAATGTGTGTACGTTCAAGCTGGGGAAAGGGGCAGAGGCAGAGAGAAAAGAATCTTAAGCAGGCTCCAAGCTCAGTGCAGAGCCCAACGCGGGACTCGATCCCAGGACCCTGGGATCATGAGCCGAAATCACAAGTTGGACGCTCAACCGGCTGAGCCACCCAGGTACCCCTATCATTATGGCTTTAAAACACAAAAATAAAAATACCATTAGTCTTGGTAGTACCACTGAGGACATATTTTATTGCTACAATAACCTTAAAACACAAAGATAATGAGTTTTATCGGGCCATGTGACAAGATGATTAAGCCTGAGTTGGCAGGGAGATTTATGGATCAATAATGACACTTAGGAGTGCCTGGCTGGCACAGTCAGTGGAGCATGTGACTCTCGATCTTGGGGTTGTAGGTGCAAGCCCCATGCTGGGCAAAGAGATTACTTAAAAATAAAATCTTAAATAAAAAAATGACAAACCTGCTTTGAAAGCTCTTCTGCCTTCACCATCTGATAACTTTCTATTCTTTAGTTTGGACACACATTCCTGCTTTCCCTGCCCTATATATAAGCCCCTATTATGTTTACCTGCATCATGTTTACGCAAGAATATACTTAACAGACAATAAATATGGTTTTTACCTACTTAATTCTAGTGTCTAACACAATACTATTCCATAATGGATCCTAATAAATATCAGGGTAAATAAATGAATGTGGTCAAGGGAAAGGACAAACGTCACAAATTAAATAAATCTAAGTAGGAAGGGGCTAAGGGAACTAGGTGATTAGACAGAATAGTGAATATCCTGGGTTACTACTAGCATGTCAAGGGGTCACAGAAAGAAAATTCAAAGAAACAGAAATTCATTGCTTCACTAGTAGATGGTCATGGGGACTATGAAAAACAAGTTCATTTTTCTGGCTAATTTTAGCACAAATTCCCATATCCCAACTGAGAAGCACTTTATTATTCCAAGAGAATCAAATGTTTCACTAAATTCATACACCTTTTATCACTATCACCTCTGACCATACCATGACTTTGGAACACACACTTTTTCCTTTGGACCACTCCAGCCAGAAAGGCACTCTGGTCAGCCTTTGGGACTCAAATATAGGACTTTTCTTGCTATTCCAGGGACCCTCTGAAAAGAAAACCCTCTCTTTTTCTTTTCCTCTTTTGAAGAGGCATTTTTAGATTGGACTTAGAGTGGAGTGTATCTTGGCAAACACTTTTGGCTCTAGAGACCTAACAGGAACTAGGGTGGAGTCACTGGCAAAGGAAGCCAGAAGCGAACTGCTTAGACTTTAAAGCAGAGGGTGCTTACATTGTCTAACCTAACTCAGGAAACAACGGATAAAGAAAGTGGATGAGGATCCAGGGAAGTATCCCTGCTGAGGGTCAGAAAGCATGCAATTTGGCTTTCGGTCCCTCAAAAACTAAGAGTGGTGATAGGAAGCTGGAGAGAATGCTGCTCTAGCTCTGTGGGGAAACTTCACCCTCCAGTGGCTGACAATTTGGCAAGCAAGAGTACTACGAAGTTTGATTTAGCAATCTCCTTTCTCTCTCTGCAGTGCTCACTATTATTCACAATTAATACTGCAAGTTATTAAAAAAAAAAATTCAGCCTCTATTAGACTCATAGTCAGATTACAGCTTAAAAAAGAAAAAGACAAAGACAAAAAGATGATAACCCAAAACTCGGCAAAATACAAAGGGTAAAATGACATGGAGGATAATCTCTCCTATTTTTAAATTACAAAATACAACCAATTTTTAATATAAATTTTACCGGTAATTTTTCTTGGGGTGATAGGCACAACTCTGAACTACATTCAACAAAATTTAACATCACATTTTAACCTTCTTTGGTTATTTATCTAGCCACCACAGATCTCTGATATGTAAACTGAATGCACAAATATTTCACATGAAAATATACTAATGTGACCAATATTTAAAATTAATTTCTCTCTTACTTACCCATATTTATAGGTACCTTGAACTTGAGAAATATTCAGATTACTGCTCAAGTTTCTTGCCAGGGCTGTTGGAATAATGGGGATGGGCTTCACAGGTGTGCATTTAAAAGTATGCGCTAGAGTTACTGCTGCCCAATGCAAGTCCAAATCCACATTGTCCAAACTTTCCCTGGAAGTGATATGAGCTCTTAGGGAAAGTAGTTTACCACAATCCAAGGAATCTTTGCTACATACATGGTGCTGCAGAGCCTGAAGAATCAATATTATACAATTATTTTAAAACTGTGAGGGGAGGGAAATAAAAAATAAAATTTTTTTTTTTTTTTCAACGTTTATTTATTTTTTTGGGACAGAGAGAGACAGAGCATGAACGGGGGAGGGGCAGAGAGAGAGGGAGACACAGAATCGGAAACAGGCTCCAGGCTCCGAGCCATCAGCCCAGAGCCCGACGCGGGGCTCGAACCCACGGACCGCGAGATCGTGACCTGGCTGAAGTCGGACGCTTAACCGACTGCGCCACCCAGGCGCCCCAACTTTTTTTTTTTTTTAAGTAGGCTCCACACCCAGTATGGAGCCCAACACAGGGCTTGAACTCACCACCTTGACATCAAGACCTGAGCTGAGATCAAGAGTTGGACGCTTAACCAACTAAGCCACCCAGGTGCTCTATTGAAAAATAAAACTTTGAGGGGCGCCTGGGGGGCTTAGTTAGCTGAGCACCCAACTTCAGCTCAAGTTATGATCTCATGGTTCGTGAGTTCGAGCCCCACGTCTGGCTCGCTGAGGACAGCACAGAGCCCACTTCAGATCCTCTATCTCCCTCTCTCTGCCCCTCCCCAACTCACACTGTCTCAAAAATAAACATTAAAAAAACTTTTTTTAATTAAAAAAATAAAAAAATATAACTTTGAAATTTGTCCACATCTCTAAAGGTTTTATTTCATACTGGTGCATGTATACACATATATACCTTGGATTAACAAAATTAAACAATTTCTGATTTGTGATATTTCAATTCTCTCATTTCTTCCATGTGACCAAAAAGCTACATGCATAATTATGTCAAAGCAAGTAAGAATTACTGTACCAAGCTCCATCATCTATTGCCAGATGTGCCAGCAGCATTTCAAATTCTTATCAGAGAATGTCACTTCCAATAAACATTCATCACATGAAAAAAATGAATGTTAAACTAATTCTGACTCAATTCAGAAAACCTAAAGTCCATTCTTTGATTATTTTCTTATTGCCCTAAAGTGTCAGGTCAGTTCTTCCCGCATAGTTGCTCATGCCCACTGTGTCCTTCCTAGACTTGGCCACCACTCTAGAGGCTAATTACACCCTAATACACATCTGACTATTGCAATGGCTGACCTACTCTCTCTGACTTCAGTCAGGCTGCTGTATCAAATAAACTATCCTTGATTTCATATTATCTCCTCTTTTCAGAAACTTTCAATGACTCTACATGGCCCATATAACAAACGTCAAATTCCTCAGCCTGGCAGATAAGGCTCTCTATAATCTAGCCAAGCTCATAGTCCAATCTGATTGCCCACAAACACAGCAAAAATCTACATCCTTAATATGACCCTGAGCACATCCTGCACTTTGTTATCTTGGCCATATTGCTTCCCCTTCTGGAATGCTACCCATATTACCTCCCCAGAATTTCTACCCTCAGAAACCACATTTAACTGTATTTTAACAACATTCAATCAGAAATTATTATGAATACTTGTTAAGTATGGGTTTATTGAAATACAACACAGGACACATAATTTGATACTTGTGTTGAACTAAGAATAATCAAGTTATCAACAAATCCCACCTTAAAAGCTGAACTGAAGTCATCTGCATCATGAACTATTACTTCTTTTGAGCAAAGTCCATGAGTATAAATTTTGCAAGGAATCACAAAGTCCCCAGGAAGAGCAGCAGTAGGGGTTCTTTCTAAACATTCAGGTACTTCTCGACCAGGATCAAAACGATCTACTGTCAATGTCACACTTTCTTCATCTGAAGAACAAAAATAGCAGTTATTATTATAGCATGACAATAAAAATTTGAAATCAACCAAGCCAGCCTACAACTACAGCAAAGCATTTTGTTCATCGCAATAGTACACTAAACTCTTATTTTAAAAAACGACTTGCATATACATTCTTCCACGTTACCAGACTATGAAGTCTGTGATGGGCAGTGTCAAGTTTTACTTACCTTTGTAACCTTGGTATACAGCAAAGAAAATAAGCATGAAGAATATTATAATAATTGGCTGAATTCAAAAGACAAATTCTATTATAGTTATAAAAATATTTTTTTAAATATATTACCTTCATCTACTATGAGAGAACCAAGTAAAAAGCATGGCAGGTTTTTTTTATTCTGCTTAGCATGACGATAAGCAAGTCGGATGGTCTTTTCAGTTACCACAAGCTTTGGATTTCTGAAAAATAACAGAAGTCTTTTATGAATGTGATAGATCTGATATCCAAGAAAACCCTCCTGCCATGATAATGCCTAAAATATAACACACATCTTTTAATATGTACAGAAAAATCATTGTTGGGGTGCCTGGGTGGATCAGTCAGTTAAGCATCCAACTCTTGATTTCTGCTCAGGTCACAATCTCACTGTGAGACTGGGTCCTACATGGGGCTCCATGCTTCAGCACAGAGCTTGTTTGGCATTCTCTCCTTCCCTCTCTCTCTCAAAATACATAAACTTAAAAAAAAAAAAAAGAAAAATCATTGTTGAGAAATCCTAGGGTCAAAAATGGGCAGGAGGTGGGGAGTGGGTAGAGAGAGCTGCCTGGAAACCAGGATTGTAACAAACAGACACTGAAGATATCGTTGTTCTCTGAGTCTTTGCTTAATTTTATGAACCAGAGCAAGGATCAAGAAACTATGAGGCCAGGCTCCTGTTTTTAGAAATAAGGTTTGATTAAAATATCACATCCATTTGTTTACATATTGTCTATGGACTTCAGATACTAGCATTATTGAATCCAAAATATACAAAAATACAATTCAAATGTGTAAAAGCATATAAAAGGGACTCTAAAATACGGTCAAGGAAGAAGATACTATCAAAAAAGACTAGGCGGGGGCACCTGGATGGCTCAATTGGTTAAGCTTTCAAATTTTAACTCAAGTCTTGATCTCAGGGTCTTGAGTTCAAGCCCCACATTGGGATCTATGGTCATAAAGCCTACTCAAAAACAAACAAACAAACAAACAAAACTAGGCAAATTTAAAAAAGAACCACAAAGGACCTGCAGAAATAAAAATATAATCAATTAAAGACTCAATATAATGAACTGGGGATAGGTACATGAATTTTTATTATTATTTTATAAACTCTGCATAAATATTATAAACAATCATATATATAGTATACTTCCACATTTAAAAAACCTAAATGAACAGGTTAAATGGTAACAAAGTACACTTAAAGAGAAAATTAGCAGTTGAAGACAAAAACATTGTAGCAAAGACAAATAACAAAAAATATAAAAGATAGGTCAAGAGACATTAAGAATGAACAAGTCTAAGAAATATTTAATTGAACTTTCACAAGATTGTTTTTTATCAATGATACTATCCTTCTGTGCCATCTGGTCTAGAACTTAAATACTTTGTGACTTGTATCTCTCCTTTATTCGACTGAATCCATCATCAAATGCTACAAGCTATTTTCTCAAAATACCGGTTTCATTCTTTCCTTTTGATCTCAGTACTGCTACGCTGCTCTAAACCCTTATAATAGCTCCCGTTTATTGAATACTTCCTATGTTCCAGGCACCATGCCAACTGCTGCTTTACAGAGTCTGTCTCATTTAATCCTTACAAGAGTGCTATGAAACAGATATCATTATTCCCATTTTATAAATAAGGAAACTGATCCTTGCCTACTTTACTGAGGTTGCATACATAAGTGGTAGAATCAGGATTTGACCCTCTAGGCAGTCTGACTCCAGTTACGGCACCTTAAACAAACCACTGTGGCATAAATCTATGTTGCTTAGATTACAAAAAATCATCTCATAGCCAGGCTAACTCTAGGCTTTCCCCACTATGACCCATCCTTCTTAGAATTCTGCTATTAACAAATAACTCCCTTACATACAAAATCGCAGTGAATCTCTATCTTCTATTAGTTTAAGCCTAAGCTGTTATGTCTTTCTTTCAAGATCCTGGTTATAACCATATTTTACAGTCCTTCTAACATGATCTATCCACTCAAAATCAGTTCAATCTTCTCAATGCTCTACAAAGGTATTTATCATATTTTGTCTTTTGAATTCCTAGACTTAGAACTTTAGATCTGCGAATATTTTAACTGTGAAATTAATATTACTCCTCAAAAGCATAAGAAATAGATTTAGGGGTCCTGGGTGGCTCAGTGGGTTAAGAAACGGACTTTGGCTCAGGTCATGATCTTGTGATTCATGAGTTCGAGCCCCGCGTTGGGCTCTGTGTTGACAACTCAGAGCCTAGAGCCTACTTCAGATTCTGTGTCTCCCTCACTCTCTACCCTTCCCCTGCTCACGCTATCTCAATCTCTCTCAATCTCTCTCTCTCAAAGAATGAACCAACATTAAAAAAAACTTTTTTTTTTTAAAGAAAAGAAACGGATTTAAGAAGTAGCAGAAGGGATAATTTGTTTGAGAGGAGCTTTTGAATGGAAAAGTTAAAAAAAAAAAATGAATTAGTCATAGTAATCAACTTCGCCTTACACATCCTTTCGACTCCTGGTTTATACTGGTTTGATCTGAAAAGAGACACATCTTATACCTGTAGTAATTGAGGTGTAAATAGATGAAATCTCCTATTGGCATCGGGTTCCAAAGTGCACATTTTGATGGAGGAAAGTAGAAAGGTACCATTCTGCTTGTAGGAAACCTTTAAAAAGAAATTTAAATCAAAGCACAATGAAAAGCAAACTTGGCAGAAATTTTATAAGAAAGAGTTTAAAGTTAAATGATGAGGGGGCACTGGGTTAAGTGTCTGACTCCTGATTCTGGCTAGGTCATGATCTCATGGTCATGAGATCAAGTCCCATATTGCACTCTGTGCTGAGCATGGGGCCTGCTTGGGATTCTCTCTCTCTGACTCTCCCCTGCTCACCCAGTGTGCTCATATGCACTCACTCTCTCAAAATAAATAAACACTAAAAAAAAACAGAGTTAAATGATGAGGCTTATCAAACTACTTTTGTAATTTAAATTTTTTTTTTTTTTT